TGTCATTCACGAGGAATTTACCACCGCGATTTGAAACCTGAGAACGTTCTGATTGACGAAAATGGAGATCTGAAAGTTTCCGATTTCGGACTCAGTGCTACAACGGATCAAATTCAATCATTCGATGGGCTTCTACATACTGTTTGTGGATCTCCGGCGTATGTAGCACCGGAGGTTTTGACGATTAAAGGATACGACGGAGCTAAAACCGATATCTGGTCATGTGGAATTATGCTATTCGTGATGATCGCAGGTTACTTCCCGTTCTACGATCAGAATCTGATGTTAATGTACAAAAAAATCTACAAAGGCGAATTCCGGTTCCCGAAATGGATCTCTCCGGACGTTAAGCGGATACTATCTCGTCTTCTGGATGTAAATCCGGCGACGAGAATAACGGTCGAAGAAATCATCAGAGATCCATGGTTCAGAAAGGGATTGAAATTCATCAAATTCTCAGAAGAGGAAGAAAATACTAAGATAAATTCGTTAACAAATTGTTTGAATGCGTTTGATATAATTTCGTTCTCCCAGGGATTAGACATTTCTGGATTGTTCAAATCGAACAATCCGGTGGATGATTTGGAAAGGATAGTGGTGGAAGAGTCGCCGGAGAGTGTAATTGAGAGAATTGAAGAGGTAGGGAAGAAGGAGAATTTCAGGATGAAGAAGAAAAAAGAATGGGGAATCGAAATGAAAGTACAAAATGGTAAATTAACGATGAGCTTGAGCTTGGATGTATATCGATTGACCGAACAGTTAGTAGTCGTGGAAATTCAAAATAGTGATGGTGACGATGGGTTGTATAAAGATGTATGGAGGAATAAATTGAAGCCCGTAATTTTGAGCAAACGGGGAGCAGAGCTTCACATTTCCGACAGCTAAATTTCAAGCATTGGGTGATTTTTAATTTTTTTTTTTTTTACTAAGTTACAAAAACAAAAGAAAAAATGTGCAATGACGTGCTTTGTTTTTTTATTCCAAAGAAAATAGTTGATGTAAAGTTTTAAAAAAAAAAATGAGTGGGGGAAGTTCATATTGTAAATATATACCTTTTTCTTGTCTTATATTTGTGTGTTATATATCTTTGCTTATATTTGTGTGTTTATTTTGAATTTAATTGATATACATGTATAATATCATAATTAGTAAAGATTCATTTAAGTGAAGATTGATATCAACTATATCAATTTTAATTGAGATGTCGATATTTATTTATTTGTTTGTCAATACAAGTTAGTTACCAAAAAAATCAATAACAAGTTGATTTTGAAGTGTAATTAATTTTTTTCCTATGAAAATTAACCCATAATTTATTTTTGGTAAAAAATTTGAGGCCTCTAAAATTGGGGGCCCAAGGCCAATGCCTTATTCAACTAAGCATAGAGCTGACCCCACGTAGACGTTAAATGAACATTCCATCTCGTCTTGATTTGATTATACCAGCTTCTTTTCCTTCTAAGAGAATTAAAGAAAATCAAAATGTATACGCTAAAGAAAACCAAAGTAGGACTTTTAGATTGAGAAAAAGGTGTTAATTACTATACAGACACAGTTCATCTACTTAGAGGATAATATATATATGGGCCATTTTAATAAAAAATAAAGGCTTATAGATTCATTATAATTATTTGTACGTTAAAACAATAATTTAGAATGTGCTGGAGCTAGCAAATTGTTTGGAGTCATGAACATGGGCTGGTCGGACCAATAATCATGACCCCTTGCCGTTGCAGATAATATAATCATCATTTTCTATGGATGTGTACGCTAGGAGGGAAAATGTTTTAGTTTTTTGCAATAAAAAAAAATACTTTCAGGAAAATAATTACTCCCTCTGTCCCATTTTATATGACTCACTTTCCTTTTTAGTCAGTCCCAAAAAAAATGACACATTTCCATACTAAGTAACAATTTAACTATGAAATATCTATTTTACCCTTAATGAAATGATTTACAGCCACACAAATTTCTATCATTCATTTTGGACCACAAGTTTTAAAAGTCTTCCTTTCTTTCTTAAACTCCGTGCCAAGTCAAACTACCTCATATAAAATGGGACAGAAAGAGTAGTTTTTTTTGTGTTCCGTGTTACTTGTTATAAAAGAATTTGTATATAATCTAGATAAATAGAGTGTGGAATGGTAAGGATGCATGGGAGTTGTTTGTGTGGTTGAGAATTGAGATGTGTTGGAAGGAGCGGGGAGGATATTAATACATTTACGTACTATTCAATCTTATAAATGAGGTAAATAAAATGGAATTAAGATTATGTTTTATTTAATTCACTTATACGGGTTCTTACGAAGCTTGCTCATGTACACCATGGTTCATATCCGATCATAGAAAAAATTCTCTTTATGCAAATCAACCTATCCTCTGTATAGGACTTACACGACGATCGGAACAAAGACACGTTTTGTTGGACACATTCAGTGTGGAATTCATGTGTAACATTAAGCCCAATCTTAATCACGGCCCAAGTTAAAAATGGACTCTTCTGAACATGTGGCCCAAGTTTTGTCAACCCATCCTAAATTAGGGCCCAATCAAACTTGCATAGCATTTTAAACTAATTTGAATACATAGATTATCTTTGTATACATAAATTAAGTATATATATAGGATATATAGCCTCTAGTTTTCATGAACACACACAGTATTTTGATTTTTTTATCTATAATAAATGACGTTAAAATGTGGAAAATCACATGCATGGCAACAGATTCCCAGCTACTTTGAATAATAAATATGAACAAATTAACAATGAGAATATAAAACTCGAATTTAATTAATGAGGCATGTGAAGGAGAGGAAATAAAGTAACAAAGAAATCAGTTATTCCCTCACTAGAAAATCAATGGAAGCATCTAATTTTTTTTCACCTCCATTAAGAAGAAATCATTCAGAGTATTAATCAGATGTTTCTCGAGAATTGAGCACTATTTATAAGAAATAGTTCTTCAATATAAATTTAGAATTAAAAATAATTACTAATTATTGTTTAAAATTCTTAAGGCAAAAATTATCTCTGAGCAACTTTTATTTGCTTATGTGACACTTATTTTTTGGAGCGAACAAAGTATAATACAATAAAATACAATACCATATGAGTTTTTGCATATCTTCATTGACCATTGCATCCTTGGTAAACAAAATATTCACCCTTATGCATTAATTACACTCTACTTATATAATTGGTGAAGGTTAATTATTGATAAGTAAATAATTGGTGAGGTGTGATGTCAACAAGAGGGCGATTTCATAGGCTAAAAATACGGGTCAAACTAAACTTAGATCTATGCATTTTCCTTCCATTTAAAGCAAGCCATTCACTCTCTTTTTCTAAAATAATTACTATATCTATTTTATCCTCCCAATGTTTTTCCATGTTCCCACATCTTAATTCTCAGAGTATAACTTTTATACCATAAAAATACTTTTTTCAATAAATATCATATTTTCTATAATAATATTTCATTATATTCAACAAGTTTTCTTTGAAATAGATTTTTTATAGGGAAAATTATGCAAAATGACAAATATTTAGAGTATATTATGTAATATAACTATAGTTTTTATTATTTTTAATCTGTGACTACAGTTTCGCGAAATTTTGCTATTTGATTTCTTAATTGTATAAATCCAAAATTTGTATAATTTGGTGCTGACTCCTGATTGTATAATTACAGAATTTGTATAATTTGGTTCCTGATTGTATAAATCCAAAATATTTATATGCTCCTAGCTACTACGATTTATGAAAATATCATAGTAAATTACCGTATTTGTATATTGACAAGCGAAATATATACACGGAGTTCCGAATAACAGTTAAATGTATAAGTACATAATTTGTATAAACTTACCATGTTTGTATATTCGCAAGCGAAATATACATAATTATGAAGCGCAATTACCAAAACTATAGCTATAAAACCTTAATATGTCTATTATCTTTGTTATTTCTGAAATTTTCCCTTTTTTATATTATGTTAGATTATACAATATTTTTTTTATAATTATATTTTGTTTCAGCAGCTAAAAGATATCCAAAATGATGTATTTACAAGTTGAATCATATATTGGCAACCATTTACTGGTTCTGGTTTCCTATTTTTTCACACTGATAATTAAGATTAATGTTAATGTTGAATTATTTCTAGAAAATGTGATATTATTTTAAGGATGGATTAAAATATATATATATATATATATATATCATTTATCCCGCCAAAACGAGTAGCTAGAACTTAAAAATTAATAGTATAATATATACATAACTTAGCTATGATCATGTGTTATTGTCTTAGCTTGAAAGTGTTTGAAGTAAGAATCCAAGACGACATGTAAATATTTTCAACGGGTAAACGAGTTTGGTTATTGACGGTGACACTAAATAGGAAGGGCAACATCACAAGAAATTGGACTTTTTTTCGTTGCTTTCACATTTGGTTTTCGATCGATATTTATATTAAGGTCCAATTATATTCATCTATTTTGAAGGTACGACTCTAAATAAGTTTTTTTCTTTTATTTTTAAAAGCTCAATTCGATACATCTGATTAAGAGTGAGAATCTTTCAACCACTTCCTAAAAAAATTGTACATTATAAAATATTTATCATTTAAATAATTAAAACCATTTAATAATAACTGATTTGATTGTGCTACACAAAATTTAATTTTTTTTAAAATGAAGTAAACATAGGTTTGGTAGTAATGAAAAGTCAATAGGTGCAATTAGTCACACGTGAGCAAGATTTGACTCAGCTGGCAATCAATAGTATTTTTTTAGTTTCTTGTGAAAGTACATTAATTATTTCTTCTAGAGTAATTAATTAACCTTTGTCATGCCTTTTAAGAATTCCTTTTCTCCCCTTTCTCATTTTCCTCTCTCCCTTTGAGAACTCAGTTATCTTCATCTTAATTTCATCTTATCTTCCATCAACCTCAAGTCATTTATAGAATGTCAAGAGAAAGGTAAGTAATACTAATTAATTTACATGTTCAAATCATTATAATTTCTTTGTTGTTGTTATTAAATTCCTTTTAAGATCAACTAGCTAGATTAATTAGGTCAAATGAACAAAGGTGCCGAGCTAGGGCCGCAAGGAGTTCATTCACCAAAAAATAATTATACTGTATATACGCGGTTAACTTTGTGTGAATCCTGTTAATTAGATTCTTATTGTGTTTAATTACTATTTTATAATTTGAATCTCATTATTGAAAATCCTTGTTCGGTCGCATGATGTGGCGCGGCGCGGTGGAGTTAGTTTGGAAGGTAGAGGTTCAACAAAATTCATTAGCTCTAGTCAAAACCCTACATATTTATTGAGAATTTCAACGAATACATGTCAGAACCAACAAACTTCAAATTCTGAATCTGGTTCTGGTTTGATTTATATTTGACTTTTTTTTTGTGATGAATAGAGAGAGATCGGATGAGATGGGAAAGAAGTTAAAGACTGAGATAGATATTTCACAGCTACATATGCAACAACAAATGGGAAGAAGACAGGTGTTGGGGCCTGTTGGGGGAGGAACAACATTGAACAATGTTACACCTTGTGCTGCTTGTAAACTTCTAAGAAGAAGATGTGCTGAGGAATGCCCTTTTTCTCCATATTTTTCCCCACTTGAACCTCACAAATTTGCTGCTGTTCATAAAGTCTTTGGGGCCAGCAATGTCTCCAAGTTGCTCATGGTATATATCTACAATTTGTATTTGAGTTTAACTTCTATGTATCAACCGTGATATACTATCAGATCGCTTGAAAGATAATTATCCTTAAACTAAAAATAAGTTATGTCTTGGTGTAAACCGTGGCGAAAAGGGGTTGATCATCTTTCGTAGGAAAATCACACTATATATATACAAGGTCGATTATTATTTTAATTATTTTTGTGTGTATATATGATAGATGAAACCATCTTGATGAAAATCACCCCTCCATCATTGACTATGTTACTAGCTTGTATAATCAAAGACGGATCTAGGGCTTAAAGTTAATTAGAAATAAGTTATAACATTTTTGCCATAAAAAATATAGAATTGTTGTCATTATATGTTTAAGTTTTTATATTTGTTGAAATTTTAGTGGTGTATATAAATGTGTTAGGTATGTTCCAACATCAAAATGTTAGGTTATTTTGAACCCCCTCCATTTTTTTCCATATAAACTATAATAGGCTAAAGTATGTTAATAATATAATTTTTCGTTTACTGTCAGTATATATAATTTAGAACGTAACTTTTATCGACTTTTTTTTTAATTAGGAGGTGCCTGTGGGACAAAGGGCAGATGCAGCAAATAGTTTGGTATATGAAGCAAATGTGAGGCTAAGAGATCCAGTGTATGGATGCATGGGTGCAATTTCAACTCTACAACAACAAATTCAAAATTTACAAGTTGAGCTTAATACAATTAGGGCTGAAATTTTGAGATACAAATATAGAGAAGCTGCTAATAGTCTTATTGCTTCTATTTCCACCTCTGTGGCACCTGAGTTACCACAAGCTCCTCCTACTCCGCCACCACCACCACCACCACCCTCCATGGTGGTGGTTTCGTCATCATCTTCTTCTGCTTCATCAACTTCTTCTAATTTATACACACCGGCCTCGTCTAGTGTGGCAAACTTTAGTGCCATTACCAATAATAACATATCGTATTTTGATCAGCAATAGTCATGTCACATCAAATGAAACAGATCAGACAATTGAAGGAAAGACATTTGGAGGATTTTTAGTTCAGTTTTTTTTTTTTTAATTTTCAAACTTGTCATTGGTAAGAGCATTTTATTATATATATACATACCATATTGTATCTCCAATTATGACAATTACAACTAGCTAGAGAAATATTTGATGATGATTAATTGTCTTTTTAATTTTCATTGCTTTTGTGATGGTCAATTTGCGTGCATTTTAATTGTTTGTTTAATTTGTATGTGGAAGAGATTTTTCTTTTAGTATTTTATATAGACATGCAAGCATACCCTTTTTTTTTTTAAAAAAAAATATAATAATTTGCGGTAAGTTATTAATTCTCATTTCGAATTCTAATTCTGATAGATGGTGTCAAAGAATTTCTTTTACACTACTAGTTCATGTATGTTATATTTGTACTTTATATCATAGTAACGTAGTGGTAAGATCTACGTATATTTTATCCTCTTCAAATCTTACTTCTATGAATTCACTGGATATATTATTGTTATTGTTTTTTATATAATTGTAATCTGAAAAAATAGATAATGTGCTACTATAACTAATTAAATTGCATTTTTTGAGTAAAAAATCTTTACTCTTAAAATATAACTAATTAAAACCTCTAAAATTGTACCAGACTTAATTACTAGTTTTGACGAATAATGTAACATTAATTAGGTCTTCTCTATTCGGTTTTATTACTACTTATTTGTTGTTGCTAATTTTAAAAACGATTTATGCAAGTATCGAGAGATTCCTTAAGCCAACTGAAAATCATTTTTGATGTCAAGACAAATTAGTGACCATTAATAAACTATGTAGGATGCTAAATTAATTAGATCCCTATTGCTATAGCTTATAGCGTTAATAAGGTTTTTCATGTTTGATTTTTTTTTAAAAATATATATTTTATTTTACGTTTCCTTAAGAGCTTCCACTCTTTTGCTCCCTTTAGTGAGTCGAACTCAAAGACTTACGATTAAAAGTACTGTGGGGTAATTATCATTCGAGCAATTTTCTCTATGGACGGTTGAGTTTTAATTTGACATAAACGATGAAAAGAATCTCATTTTCCTAAGCTTGCAAACTTACAAGTGTGTTAGTTATATATGGTGTCAATTAATTAATTAAATTTTCAGCAAGGAATGTATCTTTTATATAATATTACGTATGTGGTTTGGGTTTTCTTGGCGTGTGGAGCTCGTCAAAAGAGTAGGATTAGTTATATCATAGCCTAGCTAGCCACTCTATTCTAAATTAATTTTTAAATTGTCAAGTAATATAAAAGAAATAAGTTATACTAACATAGAAAAAAAAATACGATGGAAATATACTTGAAATCATAGATTCATTTTGTGATCCACACGATTTAGATAGGAATTCTATATCCTACCCACCAAATGTTGTTCTGATTGAATTTCAAAGACTTCGCTCGCTGTCAAAGCACATTTTGTGAAGTTTTCTCCTGTCCATGTCACCTGTTTTTTTTCTTGACAAGATTACCATTGGCCAACTAGCGCACTGACATACGTGCTAACAGAGGCAGATCTAAAATATAATATAATATAAGGTTCATATATAGAAATCGTCAAAAACTATATATGTGTATTAAGATATCCTCTAAATACCAATAAGTATTTCACAGTAACTTGATGCATTACATTTGATATATTATTATTATTATTATTATTATTATTATTATTATTGCTGTCTTTTAAGTTTATCTAAGTCGAGAGGGTTTGGATCAGTCAAAGAATGCTACGACTATATTTTAAAAATGATTTTAGTATATATATGTTTACATAAAAATAATATTGGAATATTATAAAATTAGGCAGACACTATTCATATTACTAAGTCATGATCACATGGGTTGTTAATTAGTTTCAATGCAATTGCAGCCATTAATTCGTATATGGTTCCCATTTTTGTCTTGAAAAATATGTAGATTTTATAAAGTATACAATGGCCATTTAATTAAAATATTTTCAATTCATGTAAGTCAACTTAGATGAATATTAACATAAAAACAGAATTAAACGTAGATATTATATATGTGTTAATTATTCAGGCGGCAGAGTCATCTTTATTTTATTTTTTCTTTCTTTCTCAAGATTATTCTTATAAAAAAATAGTTCTTCAATCTCAAGATGTTGGTGGTTTAACTAAAAAATAATCCGATTTTTTTATATAGGTTATGAAATATGAAACTCAATTAAGTGACATTTAAATAATCTGTTGGATAAGTGTAGATTATGTTGCAGTGGACTTAACTCTCCTTAAAAAGAGTAAGATATATTCGCACCTCAGTCTGAATGATTATTTATTCATTTTTTGACATTTTATTTTCAACGGTAATTTATTGTATTTGTAATATACTATACCAACAATATGTATTTAAGGTCATTTCACGTAAAAATATGTATTCTATTTTACTATTATTAATCAATATAATCAATATTACTGTCAAATATGGTGTAACAACACAAACTTAACATAACACATAAATAATTAAAAAGTGAAATAATTAATAATTATATGATGAATTTGTTAATATTCACAAGCTAGTAGATTAAATTTACACAATTCAATTAATTGAAGCTTTAATGTCCCTTCTTGGACACCCGATAAAATTGGAATGATACAAAAAGATTAGCATGGCCCCTGCTCAAGAATGAGACGCGTAAATCTAAAAATGGTCCAAATTTATTTATTCATTTCAAAATGAAAACTTTAATGCTACTTAAACGGACCATAGGAATGAAATTAAAATTTATTAATAATCGATGGACCAAAAATATTATTAACCCTGTAAATAATAATAATAATAATAAATAAATAAATAAAAATACTACTCCATGGTGATGACCAATAACGTGAAAGTACAATATATAATAAACACAACCGGAAATTAAAGTCTTTATTCACGCAAACATTTGTTTCTTCTTAAAACAAATAATACAAACACATTATAAATTAAAGTTGAGTTTTTTTTTTCTCAACATAAACTTAAAATTAACTCACACATAATCAAACATACTATTAAAATTTATATAGGTTCAAGCTAATTACTTAATTAATTGATTTTCCTGCAATTAGTACGAATCTGGCCATTAGTACCAGTAAGTGGGCTTAAATTCCCCAATTTAACCATAGCTTTTGCAAAATCCGCATCGAACGTTATAGGATGAGTACTATAAGTTTTCACTTGAGAGTCCGTAGAACCACCACTATATAGTTGTTGATCAGAATGAAGTATCCCTTTATTGTTAACCAAGTTCTTGTAAAAATGGTTGTCGAATAATACAGGGGTCGTTGCATCTAGTGATGAAAGGGTATCGTCTCCACCAGTACTAGGACAGTTGGATTTCAACGATGTAGCTAACGATGAATCGATGTTTGTTTCGTTGTATACACGTTGTCGGAATGTTGTACATTGTGCTTTGCCTATCGTGTGACCACCTTTATATATGAAAATATACACATCAATTAGTAAACTTTCCTTCTTCTTTTTTTCCATTTAATTTCTATAAACTGACAATATAAACTTTAACAACATAAATTAATTAGTAACATGAAAGATAAAGGCAAGTGGTTTTCTACATCTTGTTAAATCGCAGTGATTTGTATTATGTTGTCAATATATATAACTTGTCCATTTTGCTTTATTCGGACCTAAATACTCATTTCGAACTATTATTTTCAATTAAAAAATGCTACTACCATCTCCAAGATAGGGATAATGTATACATATATACTTTATCCTTCCCAGACCCCACTTTGTGGGATTAAGCTGGATATGTTATCGTTATAAATTTAATTTTTTTACACAAAATCATCTTAATAAGAAAAAACTAAAAAGTTTGTTACCTGAAAGAGCAACCATTTCTTTAGCAGTGAAGCCTTTATTGGCAAAGTTAGTAATAAGGTCATTAAGATCCAATAAAGGGGAAGGTATATCACTATTTGCTGTATCCAAACTTGCTGTTGTTGAATCTCTTCTTCCTAATTCCACTGTCCATGAAGGCCCACCTAACTGAGACCAACAAATTTAATCATAATTATGGCCCAAATTATTATGGAACTTGAAATTGTAAAGTTTTATGGAATAGCCATTATTAGAACTGATTTTTGAAAGATAGCCAGTGTTTGGAAGTTTGTGTAAGAAATAGCCACTTTTGATGTGGAAATACCACAAGTCACGACAATATCTTGGATTTTGAACTTTAACAAGTGAAAAATTGATGACATAAATATCATGATTTCTGAAATGTATGACAATATCGTGAATTTCAAACTTAAGAAGAGTGAAATTCCATATCATTGTCGTGTAGTCATCCACAATATTATGATTAACTTTTACTTTTTTAAGTTCGAGCTTATTACTTTAATGACAGAGTTGTAAAATTCACAAATTGACTATTTTTCAATGATTTTTGAAGATGTAGCTATTTTAGGGAGTCAGGAAATGGCTATTTTTTAAAACTTATTGATGGAGAGGGAGTCTGTTTGGATGGGCTAAAACTATTTTGACTTAAAGCACTTAAAATAAGACAATCAAACGAGCTCTAGCTAAAATACTTACGAGCACAACAGAATCTCGTGCAGCAACAGCTACAACATCAGCACATGAAACAATTCCAGGACATAATTTCTCTATTTGAGATTTGATTTTATCTATCACATCAAAACCTCTTAGTGAATTTGAATTTGGTTTTGCTGATTTCTCTCCAGTAAAATCTGACGTATCATCCAATAATACAGATCCATCACATCCCTGTCAAAAACAAATACATAAATATTTTGAAATAAATAAATCAACGAAATTGTTAACATTATTTGTCCACAACTTAATAAATATATATATAGGAAGTGTTGTCACTCTTTTATGTCAGCTGCGTGAGACACAAAAATAAAAGCAAAATTAAGGAGTTAATGCAATTTATGTCAGTTGTGTGAGACACAAAAATAAAAGCAAAGTTAAGGAGTGAACGTGCATTAACGAAGCAATCATGGAAATGAAGACGGAGCAACGAGGCCCCCATGCGTCGCTCGTTCGTTACAGCATTTGCCACTGCGTTTTTAATCGTATACATAGCTTTTGGACATGATTTTTCATAGTAGTCCGAAGATAAATCGGCTGAACAAATTCCAATTACTGAA